GGAGAAGAGGAGGCTGAGGGGAGACCTCATCGCCCTCTACAGCTCCCTGACAGGAGGGTGCAGAGAGCTGGGGATGAGTCTCTTTAGCCTAGTAGTAAACAACAGGACAAGAGGTAGTGGCCTCCAGTTGTGCCAGGGAAAGTTTAGACTGGATGTCAGGAAGTATTTCTTTCCAGAACATGTTGGGTGTTGGAATGGGCTGCCCAGGGAGGTGGTGGAGTCCCCATCCCTGGAGGGGTTTAAGGGTTGGGTCAACTTAGCGCTTAAGGATATGCTGTAGTTGGAACTGTCAGTGCTGGGTTAACGGTTGGACCGGAGGAGCTTCAAGGTCCTTTCCAACCTAGCCGATTCTGTGACTCTGTGAACGGGGCTGCTCTGGACTCGGGTCTGGGGCACATGTAATTACTGTAGAGCCTGTTTCACTGATGCCCCCGTGGCTGCTGGTGACACAGACGAGGGAAGAATTACTGCCGCTTTTAAAGGATCTGGCTCTTTCCAGTGTGTGCGGACGGGCAGCATTCACAGGTGCGATATATATTTTATATGGCAATGGCAGTGTTAAGCTTTGATATGCAGCTGGAAGGCGGCCCCCATCTTTCTTTCCGGGATATGGAGAAATATCTTTTTCACAAGTAGCTGTGGAAAACACCTCAAAAGTGTTTAAAAGGTCATTTGTCTTCTTTCTACCAGCCTTCTCCAGCTGGTCGATCCCCTTTGTCACATCAGAATTCTTCCTGCTTTATCAGCCCTTAGTCTAAATGCGCACGGACCTGGAGTACCGGGGATGTCAAGGGAAACACCTGGTCAGAGCAGTTAATCACATCCTCATTTAATTTCCCCGTTCTGGAGGCCCATTATGCCATAATGGTTTTGTTTATGCATCCTCCTAAGTCATCCCAGGTAATAACTTGTAACAAGCCGAACGGGAAGGTTGGGCATTGCAACTCTGACTCCTCATCACGCGTGGTCCTTTCGGTGTTCCCCAGCCCTGGGCGTGAAGCCAGCACGCTGGCCAGCCGGTACCAGCACAACCAGTGGCGCTTTTGCTGTTACGTAACTGGAAACTCCTGTATCCTCCAGCGTGACTCAACTTCTTTTGATGTGCTTCCCTGAATGCTTAGGAGTAATGAGGCACATCTTATATTACATGGAACCTGGGCTTGGCACTGGTGAGGCAGCACCTCAAAGAGTGGGTTCAGTTTTGGGCCCCTCACCCCCAAAAGGCCATTGAATGACTCGAGCAAGGGAATGGCCTCAAGTTGGGCCAGGGAAGGTTTAGACTAGATATTAGGAAGGATTTCTTTCCACAAGGTGTAGTTGGGCGTTGGAATGGGCTGCTCAGGGCAGAGGGGGAGTCCCTATCCCTGGGGGGGTTGAAGAGTCGGGCTGAGCCAGCGCTGAGGGATCTGGTGGAGTTGGGAACGGTCAGGGTGAGGTTAATGGTTGGACTGGAGGAGCTTCGAGGTCCCTTCCAACTTAGTTGATTCTGTGAAAGGTGTTAGCCCAGAGTTGAGAGGGTTCAGCCTAGAGAAGAGAAGGCTCAGGGGAGATGTTAGAGTGGCTTCCCAGTACTTAAAGGTGGCTTTAATGTCTTGTTCCACTGGCAGTTCTCCTGGGGAGGACAAGGGGACTTTACAGGTTTTTCTTCCCCAAGTTGTCCTGAAAATGTATTGGTGCTAGAGGTTAAAATTCAGTAGCAGGTGATGGCAATGCCTTTGTGTTTCTCTTGACTTTTTCAGTTGGTGTCACTGCACTGGGAAGATTGCTGAGCAGTGGACCTAGCAAGATGCTGTATGTTTTTTGGGTTTTCTTGTTTGCTTTTTTTTTTTTTTAAGAGAGGAGGAACCAAGCTAGCAAACAGGATGACAGGATGAGTAGGTCAGGTGGGGCAACACAAGCAGACCAGTCAAATGCAGATATATGGGCAGGGAACTAAAACGAAGGGGCAGGCGTAGCTCTGGATCAAAGCCTCCTGGCTGGATGCGGCACTCCTCAGCCTGTCCCTGGGGCAGTGCAGATGAGCACAAACATATCCCAGCAGATCTTGCATTGCAGACTGGTTGGGGAAGTCCTCTGAGGTGCTTTACCAAGTCGTGGAATGTTTTCTGTTCAGCAGGCTACGAACTCACTGCCTTACCAGGTCATTGCTTTCAGGGCATCTTCCCACAGCTGTGGTGACACTGGGGGGGGTCTGGGTACTGGTGGCCACATGGTGAATCTGCCCTAATTTTCAGGAATACCCTTCTCTGATGTTGGCCTTTCCTCTGAGGAACTGCAGTTCTTCTGCACAAAAAAACCTGTCAGGAGCAAGCACCACCGTCAGGGAACAGCACAGTAACTCAGCGCTGGGATGGTTGCGGGTGAAATGCTGCACTGGATTGTGGTAAGGCTGCCAAAGGCTACAGCTTCTGATGTGTTTTGTCTTTCCGTTCCTGTGACAGGATGCTGTTCCCCCTGCCTCTGCGGGTAGCCTGCAGTCTGCTTGCCTGGCTTGCTCTCTACGCTTGGTTCTGCCATCGCTACAAGCACCGGAATTACGAATGGAGCTGCCGGCTGGTCACGCTGACCCATGGCATCCTTGCTACCTGTCTCTCTGCTTACATCGGCTTCATTGATGGCCCCTGGCCTATGAGTCACCCTGGTAAGTACTGAAAGTTGTGGTCCCAAGTCCCCGAGTGGGTGATGGCACAAAGTGGGGTTCTCCTGCCACCTCAGTATCCAGCCCGCTTGAGGAGTGGTGATTGTAATGATGTCTGAGCTGCTTTGTGATGGAAGTACTAGAGAAATGGAGAGGCTGGTACTGTATTTTGCTAGTGGAATGGCCCTCCCCAGCTGCTGTCTGGCAGAGTGTGCGATCACGTTGCGTGGTCATTACGTGTGTGCAGCTGCTGGACCCAACAACTACAGTATTGTCACTTGTCTGCCTTCTCCAGCTGAGCTGTGATCAGTACAAGCTAATACTGGCCGGCCAGGGCTGCAGGTGAATACTCCTTCCTAGTCTCAGATCCTGCCTGCTTGTTGCCTCCATGCTTTAAAGCTCTGTCTGGTGTCTTTATGTTTCAGGATCACCAAACACAGCTCTTCAGGTACACGTGCTGTGCCTTAGCTTGGGCTACTTCCTCTTCGACCTTTGTTGGTGTGTGTATTTCCAGACGGAGGGTGCTCTGATGCTGGCCCACCACCTGGTGAGCATCTTGGGCATCACGGCATCGCTGGCACTCGGGGAGTCAGCTACAGAGGTCAACGCCGTCATTTTTGGTAGTGAGATCACCAACCCACTTCTGCAGGCCCGCTGGTTCCTGAAGGAGATGGGATGTTACCACAGTTTGACAGGTGATGTGGTGGATTTCTTCTTTGTGGTCCTCTTCACTGGGGTGCGGATCGGAGTGGGGGCCTGGCTGATGTACTGTGAGCTTGCTTCGCCCAAACCCAGGTGGTACATTAAGCTGGGTGGCGTCATCATGTACGCTGTCTCCTGGGTTTTCATGGTCAGCATCTGTCGCTTCGCTAGGAGGAAGAGCATGAAGAAGTACCACGCTTGGAGGAGCCGGCGGAGCGATGAGTTATACTTGAAAACTAACGGACATCTGAAAAACCACTGACTGGATCCTGAGTAAGACTTCCTCGAGTTCACAGTCTGGCAAGGAGGGGATCGTGCCTGAAATGCCACTGTCGGGAGAGGAGCCAACACACGTTAGAAATTCTGCAGCCAAATTTATCCCTGGCATAACTCCACTGCAATCTGTGGAGCTATGCCATGGATTCATTGGACCTGCAGTGTTTGACCTGGCAGAGGCTGGCTCAGTGTGTACGTCAGCATACGCTAAATGAGATGAGTGAAAGAAGGGCTAATTTTACAGACTAAACATAACTAGTCCAGCAGTGCAGGTGTAAATAGTAATGTTAGTAGCAAACTCCTTCAGCACTGGTAGAATATTGGAAGAGAGGAGAAAATAACACTAGATCTTCATGTTCAGTGTCCTGTACAGTCTAGGCATCTAGAGTGACTCTTCTTAGGGTTAGGAAGAAGCATGTTCTAGTGTTTCATCAGAGTTGGGATTCCTGGCTCTTCCACCAACTCATTATGTGACCTTGGGCAAGTCACATAACTCGAACTCTGTGCCTAATTTCCCCATCTGCAAATTGGGGGTGATGGAGCTGATCCATCTGTGCTACGCACTTTCAGATCTTTCCTTGAGAGGTGCTATATAAATGCAAAATGATGGTTGTTATCTGCACTTTGTTTATTATCCCTGTGTTTCCTTTGGGAGAAATGCTTTTGGTGGCTGAGCTAGAGTGTGACTCTAGGGAGAACAGTATTTTAGGTAGGCCGTTGTTTCCTACCCTTTCTAATTCCTTTTAATAACTTATTTAATAACATATTTATAACTTATTTTTCAGTAGTGTCCAGAAGCTCCAGTCAGCACTGGCGCCTTGCAGGACTAGGTGCTCTGTGAATACCCCCAAAGAAACAGCCCCTGATGTGAAACGCTCTTCAGATTTTTTTTTCCTCTCTTCTTCATCCCTGACTGTTAAAACTCTGCCCACCCCCTCCAAATACTGCTTTTAACTTCCTGAGTGACCCAGCGCTCTCCATAATGAAGAAGCCCCGTCAGGACTTGCCAGTAAGTGGTTTTCTGGCCAATGGGCCAAGCTCTGATTTGTCTGCAGAATGCCAGAATTCCCTCTGCTGTGCTTATTGGCCCAAATGCAGGCATAGTGTGGAGCCTGAGACCAAACAGCATGCCTTGAGATTGTCAGACAAATACTCTCCCCAAGCTGTAAGTAACTTTAAAATACGTAAATCCTGAGTGTTTTACTGCAGCAGTCTGCAAACAATCTGTAGTTGCCGGTTTTGGCAATCTGAAGGGAACAGGGGCCAGAACCTGATTTGTCATGCAGGCTGTATTTCTATTGCTCTTGAAAGTGTCATCCCAGATTCAGATCAGCATATCTGAACCCAGAGTCTGCCACAGTGTTTGGGGGTGGTGGGCCACGGTAGGTGAACGTCTGCGGGCTCTACGGAAAGATGACTGAAAACCACTTGAAACTAGCACTGATGGTTTTCCCCAGGACCATAGATCCCAGTTTCAACAAGAGTGTTTCCTCAGATCCACACTGGGATTTCTGGTTGCAGAGTAGCCAACGTGCATATTCAGAACATGGTGGCTAAAGGTGGAAGAGGTACCCAGCCTCAAATCTGTCCCCTGCCCTGTCCAAGCCAGGGACCTAACCTTGGCTCTCCTTCGTCCGAAGTGATGCCTTGTCCCCCGGGCTTTGGATTCACTTCTGTCTCCCTGATTGGATCTGGGTCACATTATAAAGTGAGAATTTATAGGGTAAGAGAAACTTATTTTACAGCCTAATAATTAAAGAAGCGAAAGGCAAAGAATCTGGCCTTTTTTAAAGCAAAAAAAGTGAACCCGACTGGCAGAAAAAAGAGCCGTTACTTATCTGGTCCCATTTGCAGGGCAAAACTGTCCCCCGGGTTGGCAGCTCCTTGGTGTTGATTTCACTGTATGTTCCTAAGTGCTGTTTCTTTGTAATTGCTGTCATTATGTTGATCATGTATTTTGAGCCTCAGCACCAGGCCTCCAGGGCAGCTCAGGTGCTGGTTCTGCTGTGAGCTTTGCCTCTTGCAGCCAAAGACGTGGAGAGCCCAAAGCACTTCAGGTGAGCCAACTGATGGGTGAGCGGGTGCTGAAAAGGGAAGTTGACTCATTTAGCACAGCACAGTGATACGACTGTTGAGCCTGGAAGGGAGCCAAGAAGGGCTAGCTGGGGCTTGCTGGTTCTTTCCCAGCTCTGTTGCTGTTGGGCATGTCAAGGAGCCTTTTTGCCTCAGCTTACCCACTTAATTAAGTGGGTACAGTATTACCTACCTCGTGGAGTGTTTTCTTGTGTTAACACTGAGCCATCTTGGATGAAGGTGTGGTGGTCTGTGTCAAGCTGTGCTGTATAAAGGCAAAATGCTGTTGCTTTGAGCGAAGCACTTCTCACTATGACCCTTCATCAGTACTTTGTCACCTGAACTTGGGTGGCGCTTCCTGGCATCTGGCTTGCCTCACAAAAGCAGGAGCCCAAGGTGCTTTGCAGAGGTGCTTATGGGTAGGAGTCCACGGGAGTAAGCTAGACGCACACGTAAAGATCAGCAGTGCTGCTGCTTGTTCAGGTGGGTTGAAGAAAGGATGTCTGGTGGGTTTTTCTTAGGAGGGATTGCAGGACATCTGGAGCCAGAGTTTCAGCAGCCAGCCTGACCAGGTAATAAGAACCTTTCAGCAGCAAGTCCTGAAGAAATGTAGGTGAAAACAACCTGCTCATTTCTCAGCGCAGCTGTTGACTTGCCCACCAAAAGAGTTTCCTGAGCAGTCCTGATGATTTGGACTCTGACCTCTGCTGAGGTTTGGTGTGCAGCTTAATGTGTGGTTACAGCCCTTCCGTGGGGGCTGCACAGCCCGTACCCACCCAAGTGAATAAGGCTGTCAGTAACTGCAGGCATCTATGAAACACCTTGCGTGAAGATGTTTTGAAAGATCCTGCACTTTTCATGGCTGAGTGGTCGCCTTCTTCAAACTGTGGGGAGAGTTGGAAGTAGAGCACCGTGATCAATGTTGAGGCTTTAGAAGTTAAGCAGGGACACCAGAAAACAAAAGAGGAGTGGCTTTATGAAGTCGAGCTAGTGGTGATGTATCAGAGCAAGGCCTGTAGTCTTGTCTAGCGGGCTCCAGCATAGAATCACAGAACCAGGAAAAGTATAACTTCCAAGCTGTGGAGCATACAGTGGGACCTGTCTTCGGGCTAGTCCATAGTGGCTAGAGCAAATTGTAAAAGGAAACTGCAGAACTAGTGTGAAATAATAACTTGTGTTTGAATTACTGTGTAATAGCAACTAATGTTCCACCAGTGAATGGTGTAGATGCTTTGTATTGTTTTATAAAATAAAGATTATTTAATTTTATGAGGAATTTCTCTCTGGATGCAGTTCTTAAGCTGTATTGTGTGTTGCTGGACGAGTCGGCATTGCCCGTGTAAACGAACAAAGGGATGGTGCGTGGGTGCTTGTTAGGGACTGAGCCAACAGCTTGTACAGCTTTCACCATTGAACAGGCAGAGACACCACTCTTCGCAAGGTCATCCTGAGGAGTACTTAGTAGTTTGGCGTTTGCTAATAGGAGCTTGCAGGTTGGTGACTGGCTGAACAGGGTGCGTTTCTTCCATAGGTTTGTTCCCCCAGGCCTTTCGTGGTGCCTATCCTCGGGCAACTCATGGAGCAGAAATGTTTCCTTTGTTTTCCATGCCCCACATGCTCAAGGAGAAGGTTCTGCTGTGTTTCCACACCAAAACCCATGAGCTCTTCTCAGTCATAAATGAAGCATTGTTGCCTAGGAATTGCTTCACTGGAAAAGTCTGATAGGAGGAGAGTATGTCTGATGTGGGGGTACTTGCAGCTGTAGAGGTGAGCCAAAGTCTGCACCGTGTGAAGGTGCGGATTTAATCTGGGGTCCGAGTGGTGCGGGTCTGTGGCCTGCTGAGGTATTGCTTGTGTGCTGGGGAGCTGTCTTCATTGAGAGCCAGAGAGAACTGCAGGGCTGTGCAGCTGCTCCTGCTCTGTTCACCCCCAGAGCTCCCTGGGCAGGACTGGCTGTGCCACGTAATCGGCCGGAGGAGATGCCAGCTGCCAGGAGGGTGTTGTGCAGGGCTCAGGGCTGTTTGCACAGGGGCTCCTTTTGCCCTCGGTGCAATAGGTTAGCACTGGGAAAGCCACCGACACACAGCACAGCTTTGTCAAGCAGTTTAGAAAGCTGTGCACTCCCTTTTTAAAAGCAAAGGATGCTACTAAAATAAGAGGGGAGGAAAGCTTTTTTTTTTTTTTTATGTGATTGCAGTAAGAGACCTAGGCACCAAGAAGAATTTCTGTGCACCAGGCACTGTACAGACCCAGGACAGAAGAAAAGCCCTGCCCTGCATGGCCTGTGCCCGCAGCTCCAAAACTGTGTGGAGCCAAGCCCGGCTCAGAAAGACCCGAGTGTTAGTGTTGCGTTGGTCAAGAACAGCTCGTCTGCCTTGCTTATGGTCACAACATTTTGCCTTAGATCCAGCATGCCAGAAGTCTGCTTTCTATAATTAGTTAAGCCAATTTAGTTGTTCGCATGTAACCCTTAAATCTACCTCAAAATCCTCCAGGTCTGGGGAGCAGCTGTGTAGATGCTGGCTCGAGGTCCTGGCCTGTTCACACTCTACAGGCAGCCCGGCTGCATGAGGAAGGGGTCTCAGGAACTTCAGTAATTTCTGCTGGGGGTTTGTTTAACCTCTGAGGTAGTCCAGAAGCAGAGAAGAAAGTACAGCAGCATTCTAAGCTTTGCTTTAGAGCGGCAAGTGTCTTCCAAGTTTCATGGCTTCAGGAATGATACACCGGAATCTACCCTTAAGTCAATGGACAAATATGCTTAGACTGTAAAGAGTGAAATCTGCCCCCCTGCCTCCATTTAATTTCATTTTTTATCTTCCCATTATTTATTTTAAAGCCATTTCTTCCCCGCTGCCCGCCTTTTGCTTCTACTGATGGCCCTGCAGTAGAGATTTGTAAAATTAACCTCCTTTTTCAATCCTCTGCTCTCTTCTTCCAGCTGAACTCTTTATTTGTATTTGAAGAAATTGCAATTTTATGATATTCAAGGCTTTATTCCCTTGCAACAGTAGTCCAAGCACTGATGTGAAAGCACAGCATTTTAAGTCTTCAGAGTCTGCTGTTAGACTAACACCAGTGCTGTCAGCAAGTCTGTTTCTTGGACAAAAAAGATGAAAGTTTTAAGCTTCATGGAAGTCATGGGTATGTTCCTGATACTTGCAGACTTTGTATAGCTTGGCTGGAAGTAAAATAACATATCTGCTGCCATTTCCAAAGAAATCAAATTTCAGAGACAGAGAGGGAGAACCAGTCAGCATTAGCTCTGTGTTGCATAAGCAATTTCTGGGCAAGGAACAACTCTTTTTTGGTTATACCAATATACCAGCACTTTCCAAGTCAGCTTCAGTATGTGCTCTAAGTAAATTCAAGTAAGAGAAGGTGTTAAGATTTTGTGAGCTTTGTCCTGCGTCCCTCAAATTCCAGGGGGAGTTTGGCAGCTGGTAAGTTGGCAGCATGTGGGATCTTTAGGAAATGACTTTAAGAAGCGAAGAGATCAAGGTGTATGGAAAAGCTTTTGCAAAGTAAGAAGAGTTTACCTGTAGTTAATTTAGTATGGGAAGGAGAAAGTTTCTGTGGCTTCTCAGCTGTTACAAAGTACAGGTTTTCTGCAGTGCTGTTAATATGTGTGAATTGTGTATTGTGACAGAAGGTTAAAATCTGTTCACTGTAGCTGATAATCCTCAAATGTGATGAGAAATAATGTTATTCTCCATCTCTAGATTTTACCCTAATAACCAAGTACCTCTTTTTTTTTTTTTAAATCCCTCCTCCAATCCGAGGACAGTGATTATAGCAGAGAGAAAGAGGGAAACTCATAACCGAATGTACAGCGGCTTCATCTGTCCTTACAAAGGTTGCTGCTTTAATTATGCTGATATGGAAAGAAAGATTAGTGCTATAAAAAATGCTTACTGCAATGTGGATTATCCAGGTTTAGGAACTGTAATAAGCTGTCATAGTGGAAGGTCTGATAGATTAGGCCATCTGTGTCTCAACAAAGTCAACAAAGTGTTGCATTTGTGTCCGAGTGACTTAAAAGCATAGGCCAGCTCTGTATGCATTTCCAGCATTCCCAGCCAACTGGATGCAGAGCAAGATGCCTGGCTGTAGTAGCAAATCATGTGCCTATTTTAGGGTAGGAGATGCTAAAAGGCTTTGAAATTGCATAGCAGTGTGGAGCACAGCACAAATTCATGGATCTTGGGGTTTTTTTTTTTCAGACTAGGGTTGCATCCAGATGTCTGTTAGTGGCCATTGGAGCGGTCAGTAAGTTGCTCTAATGGCTGATTATCCTGTCTGAAACGTGGTGAAGGGAAATTTTTCCTGAAAGAAAAACGATTACGTATACTGTTTGTTCATACCTAAAATTTGAAGTATACCAGATATTGGAGGCAAGGTGGAGTGATAAATCTGGCATCAAGGAGTTAAAAAAAAAAAAAAAAAAAAAAGTATCATCCTGTGCTGATTTTCTACTTTATGCTGAACCCATGGCAATGCAAAGCCTGATGAGATGCCACGTCTGGGTGGGATCGAGACATCCCCAGCAAGTTCACCAGCGACACCGAGCTGTGTGGTGGGACCGACACGCCGAGGGGAGGGATGGGCCATCCTCAGGGACCTGGAGAGGTGGGACCGGGCAAACCTCATGGAGTTCAGCAAGGCCAAGGGCAAGGTCCTGCCCGTGGGTCGGGGCAATCCCAGCACAGACACAGGCTGGGCGAGGAGGGGATGGAGAGCAGCACCAACAGCAGAAGGACACGGACCTGCTCCAGCGGGGCCAGAGGAGGCCACGGAGATGCTGGGGGGGCTGGAGCCCCCCCTGTGAGGACAGGCTGGGAGAGTTGGGGGGTTCAACTGGAGAAGAGAAGGCTCCGGGGAGACCTTAGAGCGGCCCCCAGGGCTGAAAGGGGCTGCGGGAACAGGGGGAGGGATCAGGGGGTGTAGGGATAGGATGAAAGGTAACAGTTTTAAACTGACAGAGGGCAGATTTAGGTGAGATACTGGGAAGAAATCCTTCCCTGTGAGGGGGGTGAGGCCCTGGCACAGGCTGCCCAGAGCAGCTGTGGCTGCCCCCTCCCTGGAAGGGTTCAAGGCCAGGCTGGACGGGGCTTTGGGCAACCTGGGCTGGGGGAAGGTGGCCCTGCCCAGGGCAGGGGGGTGGAACGAGATGGTTTTTAAGGTCCCTTCCAACCCAACCCATTGTTTGATCTGAACCCTTCGGCGGCCAGAGTGCAGCAAGCAGAGCCCCTCAAAGCTCCACTACCTGCACCGCTCAGAAATGCTGCGAGCAGGACCCCGGTGGGAGGGTTGGGGACGAGGGGTGTCATACAAGGCTGTCCCAGCAGATGGCAACAGCTCCTCAGTGAGCTTCGGGTGCGAGGCAGGAAACGTGGGGCACTGAAAGAAAAAAAAAAAAAAAAAAGAAAAATCACCTCAGTGAAACTTCTCTGTACGCCTGTCCTTCCAGGGGTCCCGTATGAGGCACCTCCACGGATCTGTCCTTTTGGTGCCATCCTTTAAGGCAAAGTAAGAAGTTATCCTTCGCAGGAGGCAACCAGGGTCCTCCTTGAACTGCTTAGCTCTGCTCCGGACTGTAAAAACCAGACTGGCGGGGAACAGCGGTGCTTTGCCCTGGAGACACGGAGGGATAAGGTTACTGTACGGTTTCCACTTCTATCACCCACGTCTGCATGGCGGTGCGATATGTAAATTCAGGGTAAGTGATGACTTCAGAGCCCCCAGAAAAAGTCTGGTTGAATCGCTACTGCACTGTGTAATTGCTTATTGACTTCTCCACTCTCCACCCCCGATTTCGCATCGTAAAACTGCCCAGGCAGAAGTATCATAAACAGGCATCTATATTCACGTAAGTACGCAATCATCTCCCACCAAAAAAATCAGCATTTGCAGAGAAGAGAAGCAGTTATGTTTTCAGGATCTACTTTTGGATTGTTTTGTTGGTGCTTTTTCTTTTTAATTGTCACATTATAAACATTGAGATGTGAATGCGGCCCATTATGAGCAAGAGTTAATGTACTGAACCGTGTGGCATAAAGGTTTTATGCTTCCTTTTTGTCACTGGTGCGGTTTTGTGTGATGCTTCTTTTGACAATACCGAGCAAATTTTTGACAAATGTTAATCATTGTCCCTCCACTACATTTTACATCGATTTAATGCAGTAGGGGATGTTTCCTTCACATTCCCGTTTTTTTTTTTTTTTTTTTTTTTTTAGGATTTCCTCCAGCTAATTGTTATTGTCATTAGGTTG